ATTTTTATTATAATAGTACAGCCTACCCACAAGTAATGAATATCCCTCAATTAAGTTATTTTCTGTTTCTTTGAAGTATTTTATAATTTTGTTTGTGTCTTAAAGTTGATTTTGGTGAATTGCATCCCAGATACATTATTTTGAGCCTTTATAGTTAATTTGAATGATATTTCTCTTTTTATTATTTTCTGTTAGATTTTGGGTTTGCTTCATAAAAATACTGATGTGGAGTTAATCTTTATCCTGATACTTTACCAAGATTGTCTCATTTCTTTCCTGATCCTTTGGGTTTTTCCAAGTAAACGATCATGTCATCAGCAAATAGAGATAGTTTTTTCTCATTTGATTTTCTCTAGCATTTCTAGAATTATGTCAGATAACAGTGGGGAAAGGAGGCATCTTTTAAATTTTTTCAGGATTTTAATTTTAATTTTTTATTATTCTGGACTTGACAGATGTCAGCAAACAAAAGCAATTCTCTATGCAAAGGAGAACAAGATAAAGGATTATATATGAAACCACTCATTATTATTTCATAGAGCTTGGGAGTTTTTTTTGTTTTTGTTTTTGTTTTTGTTTTTTGGTGAGGCAATCAGGGTTAAATGACTTGCCCAGTCATGCAGCTAGTGAGTGTTATGTGTCTGAGGCAGGATTTGAACTCAAGTTCTCCTAACTCCAGGACACGTGCTCTATTCACTGAGCCACCTAGCTGCCCATAGAGAGCTTGGTTTTAAAAATTATATAACAAATCAACGTATTAGTTCCAAAGCTGACCTGTTTATGTCTCCTTCAAAACTTTTGTTACCTTTTGTGCATTTTTTTTAGACTGTTTCAGCGCTCTTTTTCTTTTTTGGCATTGCTATCACTAATAGTTTTCTCTCCTCCATTCCCAAATATATGATTTGTCTCTTTTAATGAATAATCAAAATCAAGCAAAAAGCAAATCCACACGTTGGCCGTGTCTGAAATTGTATGTCTCATTCTGTGTCTCTAGTCCATTACTATCCAGAGGGAGGAAGCACGCCTTGTCATCTGTCTTCTGGAGTCATAGTTGGTCATTTTAATGATTAGAGTTTTTAAGTGCTGAAAAGTTGTTTTGCCCTTATAGTACTATTGTTATTGTATAAATTATTCTCATAGTTCTACTCATTTCATTCTGCATTAGTTCACCCAAGTATTCCCAGGTTTTTCTAAATCATTCTGTTCCTTATTTCTTAACCTGTGATACTTTTTCCATTATATTCTAATGTCGTTTACTAGTTGATGGACTCCTCTTTAGTTTCCAGATCTTACTATGACAAAAAGTACTGCTCTTAGTATTTTTGTACATAAGGGTCCTTTCCCCCTCTTGCCTTGATCTCCTTGGGGTATATTAGCATGGTAGTGGTATTGCTGGATTTGGGGGTATGTAGTTAAATGATTTGTGGAACATAGTTCCAAATTGCCTTTCAGAATGGCTGGACCAGTTTAAAGCTCCAACAATGCATTGGTAGGCCAGTCTCTCACATCCCCTCCAGCAATTTTCCTTTTCCTTTTTTGTCATCTTTGCCAATCTGATGGGTATAAAGTAGAACCTCAGGGTTGTTTTAACTTGTAAGTCTTTTCCGAGTGATCTGGCACATTTTTTTTCTTTTTCTTTTTTTTTAAAAATTTTATTATTATTATTATTATTATTTTTTAGGCAATTGGGGTTAAGTGACTTGCTCAGGATCACACAGCTAGTAAGTGTCAAGTGTTGGTCTGAGGCCAGATTTGAATTCAGGTCCTCCTGACTTCAGGGCCGGTGCTCTATCCACTGCGCCACATAGCTGCCACCATTTTTTTATATGGTAATTGATAGCTTGCTTTTCTTATATGGAAGAATACAAGGATTGGCTGTTATGTATTTCACTAAGTTCTCTGTTTATCAGAGAATCTTATTGCAAAGATTTTCCCAGATGTTTCTCTTTTAATTTTAACTGCATTAATTTTGTTTGTGCAAAAAAATTTTCAATTTTATGTTATCAGAATTGTCTGTTTTCTCTGATTTCTTCTAATCTTTGTTTGGTCAAGAACTCTTCCCCTTTTCAGAATTGTAAAAAATACCTCTTCCTTGCTCCTCTAATTTGTTTATGATATGATCTTTTATAACTAGGTGTATTCATTTGGAACTTATTGAGGTATGTGGTATAGGATAATTGATCTGGATTTAATTTCTGCCAGACTGCTTTCCAGTTTTTATGTGTGGCCAGACCCTCTTCTTCCCCTTGTGAGCAAAGGAAAAGGAGTTGAAGATCTAGATGGAATATGCGAATAAGCACGAGTTGGAAAAGCAAAGTAGACTTCTGTAGTTTGGGGTGCTGAACATATCCTAGCATCGCTTTAGAGCTGCAAGGGGCTTTGGGCAGCCCAGTGAAATGGCTGGACAAGCAGCCAGCCTGCTGCTGCTGGGGACCCAGCACACATGCCAATGAAGAGGTCACAAAAAGGGTTGTTTAGTTTGCCTTTGTAACCTTTTATTAGGGAGCTGGTGTCATAGTGAAATTAAAAACCTTCAGTAGTGACTGAGAACTTCACGTCAACAAATATCTAAGTACTATGGAAGTCTCTAGCCATATTAAAAAGTTAGGCACCACCCTGAAGGACTGGACTCAGTATCAGTAAGAATAGGGTTTTCCCCCACAGGCACACACTCATTAGCAGTGGGCTCCTACTCTCAGAACCTTAGTTTAGTCATTTGTAAATCAGAGATAATATTGGCACCTATCCCAGGGTTGTTGTGAGGATTACGTTACTTTAGATAACATTTCTAATGTTCTTTGGAAACCTTAAAATTCTATCAATGTGAATTGTTACTATTACCACCCACGTCCTTTGGCATAAAAATGATTAAAATGGAACCTTAACCTACAGAGTATTATGCACTTAGAGAGATATCCTTGCTGTGAATTCTTTTAATTTGGATTGGATGCCTCCAGTCCAGAAGAGTAACATAGACATTATAATTTTGGTCAATGCAGAAGCTGTCTAATGTTTGCCAGTTTTATACCCTGGGTTCCTGAATTTGGTTAATGTAATTTTAAAAATACAATACTGAAACAATCAAAATTGTCATCACAAACTGAGGAAATAAGTCTTGAGAAGACATCATTTATTTTTATTATGTTTTGTCAAAAGGTTTGAGTTATTGTGGGAGTTTCAAGATTGAAGATTTGGAAATGAAGGTGATAAATATCCCATTCATCATCTGGCCCTCTTTGTTTAAGATAAATGGGGTGTATCCTCCTTAATGAGATTCAGGTGCCATGTGATTCCTCTTTTCTTTAAATTCCCCAAATTTCTGACCTTCCTTCCATTGCCAGATGAAGTAGGCTTTATTGTCAAATGTCATTGGGCACATTAAACAAAGAGAAGCTGTTCCGTTACACCATGTCTTTGTTACCACAAAGCTTGTTGTAGACGTCAGCTACCTGTGGTTTAAATTCTGTTTCCCAAAGAATAACTGTACAAGGTCAAACCCAATTGTAATAAGGTTGTCCCTTGGGATGGATATTAATTTTACCTTTTAACATCTGTTTAAAAAAATAAATAAATATGTATGTGAGTATATGCATATAGAGAGTCTTGCTGTAACTCTGAGATTACCCTCCATTTGCGCCGTATGTATCTTGTGTGTTAGTAGTTATTTGCATGTTGTCTCCCTCATTAAAATGTGAGCTCCTTGAGAACCTGGACTGTTTTTTTGTTTGATTGGCTTTTGGCCTGTCCTTGTATCCCTGGTACTTAGCTCAGTGTCTGGCACATACTAAACACTTTAATAAATGCTTGTTGACTGATTAACCTTCATTTTCCAGTTTCTCTCTTTCCTCCCCTGACCCCCAGAGAGAGAGAGAGAGACTCAAAAAGCTATTAAATAAAACTAACCTGTATATGAGCAGAGTCTAACCATCTGTCCAGTGTTACACACCCAGACACCATCCCCACCTCTGGGAAGAAGGAAGCTGGGGAACACCTTTTTTCCCCCCAAATCTTTCCGTTTACATTGTTGTAGTCATTATTGACACCAACTTTTAAACAGTTTCTCTTGTGCTCCTTTAATTGGTTTCTTCAGCTTGGCTTACATTTGTTGACAGCTGGAACCAGGATGGGATAGCTCAGAGGCTGTTTCCAATTCTTAACTGAGGTACTATCAAAAAGTTCTCATGCTAATGTTTATTTTGCTTTAAAAGCTTGTGTGTCACTTTTAGAAAGCTATACCCTTCCCCCTCAAAGTTTAAGTAGAATGGGGAAATGGTTATTGGATTGGGAGAAAACAAAGATAATTAGGAATAGTTTTTCTTCCCAAGGAAAATATCTGATAAAATATCTCTTGCTAATTGCAGATTTTCTGAAAAATTACAGAATACAGAAGGCATTTATCATCACATTTCTGCATTGGGGGTAGGGTGGTTAAAAAAAGTTCATCTCTCATGGCATTTCTTCTTTTCTTAGGATTCTTTAGAATTTTTTAGAATTGGAATGTGGATTTAATGTGGATGGAAGCTTTGGCCATCATGGCTCATCTGCCCAGCAGAGGAGAGAGTCACGTGGCCTCATGTTATTCACAGGCCTTTGTATTTTGAAAAATGGTGCTGCCATAAGACACCATTTCTGTGACTGCACATTCTATTTTATTTTAAAAGACTGATACATGGCCAAATGTTCCATTTGGTGTCAGTCAAGGAAAATAGTTGTTGTTTCTGCCCTGAAGCACTCTGACAGTGGTGCAGTGTTTCTGCAAAGTGTTCAAGACTAGAGCTACTTGATTAGGTACAGTTGTGGTGTTGAAGAAGCTGCAGAGCATGGCCATTGTGAAGAGCTCTTTTTTGCAGGTTTTCATCTGCTTGGGGCCCATTCTCCCTTTGAATTTGCCTTTTCATAGACATTGGTCCCTCTCCTAATTTAATGGTGTTAGACTCTAAATGTGAATATTGTACTCAAGATGTAGCCAAATGGATTAACTGCAAGTCTTGTCATAATAGGAATCCTATCCGTCTTCATCACCAATATGGTTTGTGGAATCGGATGACCCAAATTTAGCATCAGTTCTGGAACGTCTTGAAGACATCAAAAAGAGCAACACCTTGGTGAGAACCCAAACCTAACAATTTCTGTATTTATCATGGATGTTATGTGCTACTCTCTACATGTTAAGAGTTACAGTGTCCTATAAGCATGGTTGGTTCATCCTGGGGGCACTGGCCATTAGCCTTTCCTTATCTTTAGGACTTGGTTGAGACCTTGTCCATTTACTTTGCTATCCAGTGTGTTTCAGTCCTTACAATTGTGTCCTTCCTTGCACAATCAGAGAGGCTTTGTCCTGACTACAAGCATTGCTTACAGTTGCCATCAGCAGATCTAAGTTTAGGCAAAAAGAAGTGGTGGTGGTTGGAAAGAGAAGGAAGGATTCTGGCCTTGTTAATATGGTTCTCTGACTGTGGGCCTTGACCTCTCTAAGATCTCTTCTTCCTCAAGATCCTGCTGTGTTTGATGTGATTAAGTAAGTAAGTTTCTTCTTATCTTCAACCTCTACCCCTTTACTTTTGAAGCCAGCCAGGCATTCACAATTACCATGTTTTAAACCACAAAGACTAAACTTGGATGTAATACAAATGATATGTAGATATATAATTTTATACTCTATCTGACCTTATATTTGCAAATTATAGATTCTTATCAGTCAGAAGTCATATATGTTTAACTTCTTTTGTACAGGGCCTTGTGCATATGGAGACTCAATGCAAGTGTACCTTGCTTTAAGAAAGTCTGATGAAAATTTGGATTTGCAAAAGAAATAGTTAAGGGATGGTTCTTTGCGTTATAAAAGTGGTCACCACATAATTCTTAGTAGTGGGTTTTTAAAGTATTTTACTTAAAGTAGAACCAGAAGGACAATTTATACCATCACAATAGCTTTGTCCATGAGAACACAACTCTTCACTGGCAACAAAACTCAGGGGAAAAAAAAGTGTTGGACAACCTTGGTACTGATTTTGGAAAGTGAAAAGTGTGAAGTTGCACGATTATCAGTCAGAGTTCGGTGTTCAGTCAACAACAAGCATATGTATGTGTATGTACACACACACACACACACACACACACACACACACACGTGATATAAAGACAAGAAATGAAACCGTTCCTGTCCTCAGGTACCTTATGTTCTGCCGAGGAGTCAATGTCCATTACATAAGGAAATAAAAATACGTACAAAATAAATACAAGGAACCCCAGTGGAGGGTGAGGGAACAGAGAGTCTGGAAAGGCTTCATGTAGAAGGTAGTGTTTGAGCAGCATTTTGGAATAAACAAGCAAATCTGAGCAATAGAAGTGAGATGAGAGAACCTTCCATGCATTGGAGACAGTCAGTACAGAGGCAAGGAGATGAGGTCTACAGTGTCATATATGATGGAGAAACAGTTAAGGCTAGTCTGCCTGAACTGTGGAGCTTGGGAAGGTGGAAAATAAACAATAAGATTGGAAAGGTAGACTGAGCCCAGGTTGTAAAGGATTTTAAAACCCAGAAATGTTTATATTTGATATTAAACACAATAATAGGAGCCACAGGAATTTACTATGAAGGCAGGGACATCGTCAGACCTCTGCAAGGTCATCACTTTGGCAGCATTGTGGAGGCGAGATTGGAGAGGAGAGTTGGATCAGGGAGACCAATTAGGAGGTCATCCCAGTAGGAAAAGCAAGAGAGTCAAATGAGGGTGGTGACTCTGGGAGCAGAGAAGAAGGGGTGGTTGCACGAGGTAAATTGCTAAAAATTGGTGCCTGATTGATTCTGTCAGGTAAGGCAGAGTGAAGGGTCAAGGGAATACCAAGGTTGCAGTCCTGGGTGACTGGACAGATGGTGGCACCTTTGCAGAAATAGGGAAGTTGACAGCAGGAGTGGGTTTGGGGACAAAGATAATGAATTCAGTTTTGCACTTGCTGAATTTGAGATGCTTCTAGGACATCCAATTTCAAATGTCCAGTAGATAATTGGTGGTTATTGTGCCTGGAGCTTCGGAGAGAGGCTGGGCTGAATTTAAAGATTTGGAAGTCATCTGCATAGATTTAATCATTAACTCATGAGAGCTGATCATGTTGCTTAGTGAGATGGTATAGAGGGCCCAGGACAGTCTTGTACACTCACAGCCTGATTAAGCAGGGAGTATGCTAGGGTGTGAGAGAGAGAGAGAGCGTGTGTGTGTGTGTGTGTGTGTGTGTGTGTGTGTGTGTGTTGGAACAAAATATGTCACTACAATTTTCACATAAAAGTATTTGATTTATAAAAGTCTTTTAGTAATTTTATAAAAATAGATATGAACTTTTCTATTAAGCTGTCATAGAACACTATACACATCTCAGTATTGCAGTAAATGTACTATAGACTGATTTTTTAAAGAGAAAAAATCAAGGGTTAGAACTGGGTGCTACCTAGAGCAGAGGTTAAGATTTCAGGGGAGCCTGGGAATTTGGTTGAGAAAAAAATTATCTTCATTTAAAAGCATGATTCTTAGAAGGTGTCCACGGGTTTCACCAGGTTGTCAGAGTGGAGTCCAGGCCAGAAAAAAGGATAAGAACGACCCCCTAGTCTAGAGGTTTTTTTCTCAATTTCTTCTTCCCTTTTTGTTCTGTATCTTATATAATCCATCATATCTATCAGTGCGAAGTCCATGTGAATGCTGTAGCCTTCTCTAATCTGTAATCTTCTCTAATATAGGATAATATTGTTAAAGATCATTTTCTTTTATATAGCTATTGGAAGAAGTTGAATAACGTTAGACCAGTCATGTTAGTGATGAAACAGATTTCTGTTGAAGTAGTAGTGTTAGGCTTTTATTTCATCCAAAAAGTATTACATTTTTCCAGGGATTTTTTTCCCCAAAAATTTTAACACTGATTTGCCAAAATGTTTTTATAGCTTCTTCAGCAACTCAAGAGGTTAATATGTGACCTCTGCAGATTATACAACCTTCCTCAGCATCCTGATGTCGAGATGCTTGATCAGCCACTGCCTTCGGGTCAGGTAAATTCCTCATTCGTTTAGTGCTCATAATCTAAAGTAAAGCACATTGATTCCTTCAGCAAAGCTTGCATTTATGTACATCTTGAGTGTGTCTTGGTAGCTTGATTTGCATATATTTTGTGCATGTTGTAGTTATTTGAATGGGACTTCCCTTTATATTATTTCCTCTTGGATTTTGTTACTGCTATTTGTAAATGCTGAAGAATTACCCTTTTCTGGTATAATGATGGGGTTGTTATTTATGTCCTGGCCCTTGATCAGAATCTCCGTACATTTTTGCAATCTCAGATTTTTCAGGCAAAGGAGAATCCTCTTCTGAGTAGTTGACAAATGAGTATTTTCTTTCTTCAATCTTGTTTAAATCTCTTAGAACCCAGCTTCTAATGTGTCTTAAAGGAATGTTTAGTTTCACCTGCTCACCAGATCCTTTCAGTCTGAGTCAGGCTCCTGTAAGTGGTGTGAATTTTTAGAGAATAGTTATCGCTAGTTAGGAGAGTGTTGGTCTTACATTGTTTAATGTATTCATTCTTTGAATTAACTAGCTTTGGCAAGTCAGTTAACCCTTCTGGGGCCAAGCTTTTTCTCCTGTAAAATGACACAGGGCTAGATGATAAGAGTCCCAACCAAGGATTCTTCCATCTCTGAAACTCTTAGGACATTTGCACTTAAGGGAAATACAACTCTGTGAACTAAACTTAGTGTACACCACAGGAGAAGGTTCAAGGGGAATGAACTAGCTTTGGGAAAACTTCACCTAGATGAAAATTAAGCCAACAGTGACGCCCTTTTGAATGTAATTTTAATGTATTGGAAAAATTGTGGAAACGATTGAAACTTTTACACAGTAGAAAAATTAGAACATTTAAAAGAATTAATAACTTGGAGAAGTTTTTGAGATTTTTGGTTCTTTTAACTAAAGAAAACCATTAAAACTGTATGTGAGTGGAACCTCTCTGGAGTAAATGAAAAGGAAAGAGGCAGTAGGCTAGAGTTTTTCTGGTAGCTGATGTGAGTTTTTTTTTTTTTAATTTGAATAGTGATTTTTCTTATTGTTTATTCCCAAGGCATCTAATATTATTATGCTGAAGTAATAGTTTTTTTAAAAACTATTTTTAAAAATAGTGTTTTATAAAAACTGGTTAAATATATATTAATAATCAAAGCTGAGCTTTAAAAATTAGTTTAATGAAATTTGTATCCTCAGCTGTCCTTATTTTAAATGAGGTCTGAGACAATATTATTGAGAATCTGTAACTGAAGCAACATCTGAACTTGTCCATGCTCAGTGGATGCTTAGTTTAATTTAGGATATAATAGAAGTATGTAGCAATCATTGAAATGTCTTTCTGTATTTCAGAATGGGACAACAGATGAAGTTACTTCAGAAGAAGAGGAAGAAGAAGATATGGGTGAAGTACGTATTTTATATAGAAAGAATTTGTTAATTATCTGATTAATAATATCTGCTTACATACTATACTTAAACATGGAAAATGCTCCCTTAACCTGTTTTGATCAATAGTAGTCATTCCTGCCCAATTGGCAGGTAGGTGGTGCCATAGTTCATGGAACACTGGACCTGCAGTCAGGAAGACCGAGATCAAATCCTGCCTCAGCCTTACTTACTAGCAAGGTACCTTTGGGCAAGGCACTTATCTCTGTCTGCTTCAATTTCCTCATCTGTAAAGTGGGGCAATATCCCTCCAGGCTTCCTATTTGTATCTCATCCCAGCTGTTTAGAGTAGGTGTTGACCCTCCTCATTTCTGCTTCTTGGCTTCCTCCAAGTCACATAAAGTCCCACCTTTTGCAAGAAATATTTCTCAGTCCTTCTGAGTCTTAGTGCATTTCCTCTGAGACTATCCCTAGCGTATCCTGTGTGTATCTTGTTTGGACATAGTTGTTTGCATCTTGTCTTCCCTATTAGTCTGTGAGTTCCTTGAAGGCAAGTTCTATTTTTTTCCCTTTGTTGCAGCCCCAGCACTGAGCAAGTGTTTGGCACATAGTAGATGTTTTATAAATGCTTGTTGACCAACTGAGTGGACAGAAGATCTCAAATAACTGGCTGAGGAATTTCAGCTTGGTCTGATGGGTAATGGGGACACTCTTAAGCCAGGAAGAATCATTTAGTGTTGGTCTACCTAATACATTGGAAGTAGGGGAGGCTAGAGGTAAAGAAATTATTTAGGAAAATGTGGCAGTATTTAAGCATGAAGGACTAAAATGATGGCAGTAAGAAGGCCAAAGGAATGACTGTTAAACATTCCAGAAGAAAAGTAAATGGGATTTTGTGATTGGTGCCGTCTGTGACTCTCTCCTATTCTTATTCACCCATATCCAAAATTTTGAGCTTAGTTGATGGGATTTCACTGAAAGAAATGGGGACTTGGAGAAGGAGAAGCTGTTTTGAGGAGATGATAAATGTATCTTTCAGTGCATTGAGAATGATGGGGTGTTGGGAGATCCTTAAAGGTGATGATGACCTATAGGCAGAGAGAGAAGAACACTCAGGCAGAGGCTGAGCTGGGGGGATATCAGCATTTAGTAAGTGCCCTTGGAGGATGATGTACCAGGAGGGGGGAGGAGCAAGCATCAGAGAATGAAGAGCAGAAGGGCTGACAAACAGTGTCAGATGGAGAACAACGCAGCAAGATGAGGACATCGAAGACCGTGCTATTTGGTGAGAAGGAAGGTCGGTGATAACTGTGAAAAAGTTTCAGGGGAGTAGTAGGCTCAGGGTGTGGTGAGGAAATACACTGGGTCTATATTGCCATGTCAGGGGTCAGATCAGAGTAAGAAATAAGAAAGTAATTGAAGAGGGCTCATGTGACGGAGCCGAGAGCAGCACCTGCACACAGAGAGGAGGGAAGGTAGTGAGAGAAGGTAGAGAAGCGTACTTACAAAAATGTGGTAGGGGAAGGCACTAGACACCGGTCTGTGTTGATGTGGAGAGCTCTCGAGGGACAGAGGGGATAGAGCCATCTCCACCAAAACAGGTGGGCGCCTTCCCTGAAACACATGGAATTAGAGAGTTTCCCAGAGCCTTATCCAGAGTTACACAGGCCAGGAGGCGTCAGAAGGCAGGCTTGGGTCCAAGACTTCATAGCTTCCGGGTCAGCTTTCCACCTTTTGTCCCTTTTCATCTTAGATGTGAAAGACCTGGTATTTCTTTGTTTTGCTACTGTTGCATTTTTTAGCACAAATCTACGTGATCCCCTTTCTTTCAAAGCTCCCAGCCTTTTTTATCTTCTTTTTTAAAAGGAGCGGTAAAAGAAGGCAAGAGCTGAACTGAAATGAAGACAAGCGTTCTGGTGTGAAGTTAAAGCCAAAGGCCATCTTGCTGATGATTGTCTTTGAAAAACCCATAACATTGAAGTGTTTTTTTCTTTCCTCTCTTTGAGCGGAGTGAGCCCAAAAGCCACCTTAAGTAAAGTGACATTCTCCGTCTCGTTCAAGGACATTGAGGACTTAGATCACTATGACATGGAGGAAGAAGAGCCTGTGGGCTCGAAGACGTCTGAGGATGAAGGCATTGAGAAGGAAGACCTGGCGACGTTAGAGAGGATCAGGAGGAGTCAGAGGCAAGGCCGCCTCAATGTGAGTTCTTGTAGACTTAAAACTTTCACACACACCCCACAACATTGATGGAGGGAAGGAGGGAGAAGGCAATAAGGTATTAGAGAGAGGCGTGTTTACAAAGCTGCCCTTTGTGGTCGGGGCAAGGACTGGACTCAGGTCTGCATTGACTCGGGAAGCTCTCGAGGGACGCGGGGGTGGAGCGGCCTCGATCAGGACAGGCAGGCGCTCTCTCTGAAACGCGGCGGGGTGCCAGAGAGTTTCCCAGAGCTTTGTCCAAGGTCACACAGGCCAGAAGGGGTCAGAGGCAGGGCCTGAATTCAAGACTAAAGAGCAGCCAGGCCAGCGCTCTACCAACTACATCATGTAACACGCTCATAGGTATGTCAGTATATGCATAGCTTGTATGTATATTTGTGTGTGCGCTTATACACACGTAGGCACTTGGAGTCAGAGTGATTTACCCCTCCATCTAAATAAGTTAGTATTATGAGCCTTGTCTGAATGTGGAGTAGAAAAACTTGTGTCTTTAAATATTTCGGTTTTGTGTTTTCATTCATTTCTTTTTATAAAAATTCCTTATGATCCTTCCTTGGTGAGTTGAGTTCTGAGTTAGTTTTCTTAAGAGTTTAAAGAATCCTTCCTTCAAGTTTATATCCCTAAATAAGAGCTCTCAGTAGTATCAAAGAGCTTCCCAATGACATCAGATAATTCTTTTAGGGATTGTTATATGGACAGCAAAGACTCCACACTGGGCGTCTGACACATGGGCTGTCAGGATGAGCTCTAGGAGGGAGGCAGCCTCTTAGCCTACTGTAATAGCACCATTAATAGAACAAGGGGAAAGGACAGTTCACGTGTGTTATTTATGTGAGGTATGCTTTTTTAAATAAGGAATAGGTTATATTTAAAAATTTAAAAATATATATTAAAATTTTTTTTTAAATTTTAGTATGTCTGATTTTTCTTCACAGGTGATTCATTCATTAAACATTTGTCATGGGTTTCTAAAATGAGGGGGGAAAATAGGGGGAAATTTAGGCAGTGTGAAAGTCAAAGGTATCAAAAAAAATATTTAAAAAAACCAAGCAGACATTTGTTCAGAGCCAATTGTTATGTTATGCTTATGGAAAGATAGAAACATAAATAATACATAGTCTTTGTCTTTTTGGAATGATGGTGATATATACGCAAATATAGTACAGGTTAAAATCTGATACAAGCATGGTCCAAGACCCGAGTGTCATTAAGTCAGAGAGGGAAGAAGCAGCTGTGGAGATAGTGACCATGGGGATGGGGGAAGCAAATGTGGTACCTTAGCTGGGCCTTGAAACAGCCATTAGATGTTCATAAGTAATGACTGGGCGAGGAGGCAGTGAGGCCATTCCGGGTGTGTGGCATAGCGTGAGCAAGAGCGGAGAAGAGAGAAATTTGGAAAGGGTTTGGGGAAGTTGAAGTAAGAAGTGCTGTCGGAGGTCGAGGGACGTGATTTGACCTGCTCTTCAGGATGGCTCCAGCAAGGAGGATGAATTGAAGGACTGGGTAGGAGGACGAGGGAGGCCGGCTCAGTGGCCTGTCACAGTGATCCAGGCCGATGGTCATTAGCATGTAGACCGGGATGATCATGGGGTAAGGTGGAGTGTAAGACGGGGACAGAGGCAGATGATGTCCCAGAAAGAGGCTCCGTCCTGACATCTGGGGGAGTGTAGAGGACCCCCTTTTCACAGAGAGAAATGGGAAAGAAGCACACTGTCAGGGTCTAGAAGAATCAGATTTTAGACATGTTAAGCTTTTTCACATCATGATGATTTAGATCCTCATGGAGGGCAGTAGTGCCAAGTGAATCAGCAGTTTTACAGATGGAGAAACTGAGGCTCAAGCTAAGTGACTTGTTCACAGTCACAAAGACCTTGATTTGTGTCATTGTAATCGTGTAACATGCAGGTTCCTTCTTTAAGTGAACAGGTGTTTATCACTTTACTCTTCAATGTGAATGTAGCCCCTTAGTTTTGTTTTTCACAGTCTTAAAACTAGGATGCCCTCTTTGTACTTGGTCTTTGTTTTATCTGCCTCCTGCAAGGACCTTTTCTAAGCTAGGGAGTGGCCATCTTTCTGCATAGACCCCTACCCACTGTCTAACAACTGTTAGCCTTTCCAGAAGGGCTTCCAGTCCCTCTTCTAAGCTCATTTCATCCGGAGAAGGTTGGTCATTATCTAATCTCTGCTTATATTTGCTTTGAGCCTTGATATTTGTGGGTGTTGCATGCAGAGCCCAGCTCCATGGGACCATCCTTTATAGAAGATCTGCCCCCTAGGGCGCACACGCCCCACATACACACACATACCTCTCTTTCTCTCTTGATGATTGGCTTTTAAAACGATGCTTTTCCTCGGGCTAAAGAGAACCTAATGAAGTGATGTTTTTATCATGACTTTTTATTAAAACAAACACCAGCCAAGTTCTTTATTTTCTGGGGCCTTCTATTTGACGTTTTAGTCAGTGTGTTTTATTGTTCCCTGAGGTATAAGAATGGTAAAAGCTACCGTTTTACTAGAAAAGTAATAGTAGTTCTTTTAACCTCTTGTTGGTCTTCCAATGACACAAAAATTATGTGCTTAGTAGAATAGAACTGGGAGTTTCCTCTTTAGCCTGTAGAGCTTAAAGCTTGATTCTGTGACCTTGGGCTAATTACCAATTAGTTACTTAATCCTGTCAAATAAAGGAGTTGGTATAGATGACTTAAGGTCCCTTGCAGCTCTAGTTCTAAGATCCAATGGTACTTGTTTAATTTGTAGTTGAGAAATACCAAAATATTGTGCTCCTCATTCAATGAATAATTATTAAATGTTCACAATATGGAAGCTACCATGGAGGGTAGAGAGAGGTGTAGAACCTGTTGGCCCCAGGGAGCTTACAGTCTAATTGGAGGTTGGATGTCCATGTAAAGGGAGCATTGAAGGAGCAGCCCATGAGGGTCAGGTGATGGCTGTAGACAGTGACTGTTTCGGGAGTCAAGAGAAGGCAGCGATGACTGTGTGGAGAGCCAGCCAGGGATGGATCACCAAGAAAACGGGCCTTTTGAAGACTGGGCAGGATTTGGAATCTTGGAGAGGAACAGGGGAATAGCCCATGAACAAGGTGCTGAAATGGCACAGCGCCTCAAGTGCCATGAGAAGATGCTTCTGGTGGGAGTGGTAGACTTTAAAGATGAAGGCCAGAGCATAGAAGGCAGCAGACCAGACAGTGATGGGCAAGAAAATCATTGAGTTCTCAAGTACATGATGCAGGTGAGAAGGTCCATCAGTCTGATCTGTTGGGATTGGCAGAGGCCTCCTGGAGGAGGCAGCGTCTTGTTTGATCCTCAGAACCTTATGAACTAGGTATCGCAGGTGTTGTTAGCCCCATTTTACAGGTGAAGGAACAAAGGCTTAAAAAGGCTGGGTGAGTGTTGGAGATGGATTTGATGACCCAGGTCATCAAAATTCAAAATCCAGCCCCGTCTTCTCTGGTTTACTCTGCTTCTGATGTCTCCTCCAGGCTCTGCCTTTAACCAGCCATGTGACCTTGAGCAAGCCATGTAAGTTCTCTTGACTGGATTCTCCTGATTTTATCAAGTGACAGTATCATGTCCGATGACCTCCAAATTGTTATTATCCATAGCTATTTCTTGGAACAACTGACTGGACCAACAATAAGCGGATCTTTATACAGGGGAAAGCTCACTTATTTGGGTGGAAAAAGTTCAAATTATGAAAAGTCTGATTTTTTAAATATCTCTTTGGAGAAATGTATGTACATATACATAAACACATACATACACACAGATATACATATAGTTAAGCAAAGTAGTGGTTGATAAGATGTTGCATGACAGAAAACTGGGCAAATGTGTTCCAAAGGATTATGAATACTTACTGCATTCTTTTATATATCTGTGTGCATGTGTGTTTATGTTTTGGAACCTTGAAAATAGTTGGCTCTTTTAGGTTAAATATATCCTCTTGAGTCTTTAATTTACAATATTAATTTATTCAGCAAACCCTTTCTTCATTGTGAAAGTGTACATTTTAGCCCAATCCTTGGCTGATTATAAATATATAGTGGGGTATGAATTGCTGAAGTCTGACTGCCCCTTCCCCACTTCAGATTCAGTTTGAAGATGGGTTGTAATTTGTATCTTCCCTCTCTACCAGGGTGGTAGCATGTAATATGGTCTTTCTTAAGTGGGAGGAATCTCTTTGATCAAAAGATAAATTGAGGTGACCGTGATGTGTGCTGGTAGTATTTGAGCTTAGGTGATACTGAACATAGCTGTCCTTCCCTAAAGTTCTTTTGCCAAGCCTCACGGGGCATGGAGTGACAGGGGCTCTCGAAGGACATTCTGTGGGAACACATGCTCTGACAGCGTCAGCTCAGCTTTGTAAAGCTTCAAGTGTGGGCACTCCAAATCTGCCTGGTGAAGACTGTCTCTCGTGTGTGTGGGGGGGGGGGGGGGGGGGGGGGGTGTGGGTGTGTGTGGGTGGGTGGTGGTGGTGGTGGTGGTGGTGTATGTGAACTGGCCATAATAGATGGATTACAGTGGTCACAAAACAGAGCATGAGGAATTATTACAAAACAGCTGGCTTTGTATTTTTTTTTTCCACTAGAATGTCATTCCAACACCATCCTTGGGCTTCAGAATGTTTTAAATAAGGTGTTTTTGCAAATGAAATCCTTTGGAGAGGGTGTAGGACAGACCTGTGTTATACAGAATTCTAGGCAATTATAGATTATGTGTCGGCAAATAGTGGCTGCCTTCTTATACGAAATGTTGTTCCTGGAAACACATTTACCTATTGACATTTGGTTTAATTTCTGACTTCTTCGTTAGTATTGATCTGTTCCACCTTTACACCTTATGGTATGTTCTTGTTAACAGCCTCAAAGTGAGAGTTCTGAATTATTAGTCCCAATAAAGGTTGATTTGATTTTTCTGTTTCAGGGTGCAGTGTCTGGGTCAGTACAGGCTTCAGACAGACTCATGAAAGAGCTCAGGGATATATATCGATCACAGAGTTATAAAACAGGTAAAGAGTTTTCCATGGCCTTTCTGGACCCCTCCTTGTCACCCTTACCCTCTGCCCTTTCTGTGGTATTTGTGATAAGCTAACATGACAGATTAGACATTTTCATTAACTTTGTGTTTAAGGCTGTGAGACCAAAGTTTAAATATTTTACCAGCAAGTAAAGGTAATTGAACAGTATGAGCTAAACTCTTATGGTATTTTCATGAATATTATTCCAATGGTCTGGCAGTCTGTGGCCTATATTAGTCCTAACATGGCTTAAACTGCTTGTTATCTGTCTCTTTGGGGGATGAAAAATTATTATGTAAAGAATGATCAAAAAGAAAAAAGAAAAGAAAAAAAAAAGTGATCATTCCATCTAGCAAGTAAAACAATTAAACTTCATTAACTTTCATGTTTTTGTTTTGTGTACTTTCCAAATAAGTTGACATCTCAGGTTTTTACTTATTTTTTTTCCATATCATTTAGGAAAGGATTTTGGTGTATTGTTCAGTCATTTAGGAAAATTTAGCATTTTTTCTCTGCTTGCCATCAATTACAAAGCAATTTTTCCATGTCCTGACATTTTTTGCTTCTAATATGGAGACAGCAAATCTGAAAACCACTAAGGATCAGGAAGCAGAAGTGAACTGTAATTTGTACAATTATGTGAAGATATGATTGAAACATATCATTCAGAAAATTCCATGTGATCAGATGTAAATCATGTGACTTTTTGTTTAAAAAAAAAAAGCCTATTCAGCAAAGGATCAGATCCTCTTTCCACTGCCTCTCTGGGCTTAGCGTTTTGAATTCACTGGTCGCTTTTATAGAGGCTTTGTAGAGGCCTTAAAAATGCATTTGAATCCTGAATTATCTTACATTTCTATTTTTTAAATTGTAAAGATTCACTTATCAATGGAAGTTGTCTTGGGAAAGTACAAGGTCTTTCATCCTTCTTACTCCTTCCTCTTAAAAAAATAGTATGCAGAAAACTGTACTACTGAGAAATATCTGGCTTGAAATTTTTGAGCAACTTTTTTTTTAAAGGATTTAGATGAAGTCCTAGGAAATGTCTTTCATGAGAGAAAATGCATTTACCTGCAGCTCTTTCAAAGATAGGTGTTTTATAGTTTAACTGTCATTTCTATAGTTGTTATTTTTCCCTGAATTTCAGAGGTGAATGAGACTCAGTGATCATCTAGTCCAAGTTATGGCTGAAGAAGAATTCCCCTTGCCTTATGGCTCCCAAGTGATCATGTCACCTATGCCTGGTGGACCTCCAGGGAGGAAGAGAAAGCTTTCCACCCTGGAGCCATCATCCTCTTTGGAATGGCTTTAATTGTCGTGAAGTTTTTCCTTCCATCAAGGCTATGTTTTCCTGTTTCTGACTCCTGTTTGTTGCTTCATTCTGCCCTCTGGCATCTTGAGCTGGTGAAGTTGATTTTTTGAATCCTCTTGAAAGATTTGACATGTATCTCTTTTCAACTTTATCCAATTTTATATAATCCTCTAAACATTCAACATTTTGCTAAATCCTCTTTTATCACATGTATAGCTTTGTTTAAGGCTGCCATTTTGGCCTTTATCCTGGATATTGACAAAAATGTTAAACAGGCCCGAGCCAAACACAAAACCCTGTGGCACTCTATTGGAGACCTCCCTTGAAGGAGGCCCAATCAAACCAGGTCTGCAAGGGAGTTCTCCATTAGAGTGGCAAAGGAATTTGTGTTTGGCTCGAGCCTGTTTAACATTTTTGTCAATATCCAATTAATTCAACCAATTTTGAATCCATCTAAATATACTATCTTTTAGCCCACATTTACCTAGCTTTTCTACAAACTTGGCACAAGAGACTTTATCGGATGTTTTGCTTAAATCTAAGTAATCTACATCTACACAATTTCCATGTTCTGTCAAATTAATAACCCTGTTAAAAGGAACAATTAAGTTAGTTTGGCATGGCATGTGTTTGATAAAAGCCATAGTAATTTTTTTTTTAATGGATGCGTTTTGTTATTGCATCTGATTTTATTTCTGACTATAGCCTTCTCCTACCCAGTCCATGTTCCCTTTTAACAAAGATTTTATTAAAAAAAAAGGGGGGGGGGGAGAAACAGTTTAGCAAAACCAACCAACCCTTTTGCCTGTATCTCACATTGTATGCAAAATTCTACCGCATAGTCCTCCACTTCTGCAGTGAAGAGAGGGAGGTGCATTTTCTCAATTCTTGTCTAGGCCAAACTTGATCATTTTAATTACAATGTTAACTTTCAGTTTGGTGTTCTTTTCCATTTACATTGTTGTCATGTATATTGTTTTCCTGGTAATGATTACCTCACTCTGCATTAGTTCATAGAAATCTTTGTATGTTTCCCTGAATTCTTCATTGTTGTGTTTCTTATCCAAATGCTGCTGTAAATATTTTGGTGTATATGGGATGTTTCTTTAATCTTGAGTATTTGCCTGACCCTGGAATCTGTGAGTCACAGGATATGATATTTAAGTCACTTTTTTAGCACAGTGTTCAATTACTTCCCCAAATGGTTGATCCATTTTGTAGGTGCACCACCAATTTTATTAGTATGCCTGCCTTCCTCCAGTAACCCAAAAATACACTGTTCCCAGCTTTTGTCACTTTTGACAATCTGATGGATATGGGATGAGACCTCAGATGTGTTTTGATTTGTGTTTCTCTTGTTAATAGTTTTGCAACTATCTTTCATGTAATTGTTAATAGTATGGAATTCATCTTTTGGAACTATCTCCCTTTAATAATATTGTCTAGAATTTTGCCAGAAATAGACTTTAACTGACACTTACAGTTTGCTGACTCCATGCTCCTCCCCTCTTAAAAAAAAATCAGGGCCTCGTTTACCATCTTGAGTTCTTCGGTACCTGCCGTGTGGCCCTTCAGAGATCACTAACTGTGACTCAGCAAGCATATGCTCCTTGCCAGTCAACATTGACACTCTAGAAGCTCTATTGCTATAAAGAACTTAGAGTCTTGGGGCCAATTTCTAAGAAACAAAAAAAAAACCCAAACCAACTGATATTGATTTTTTAGTTTCCTTGATGATTTGTAGCTTACTGATGTGATCTCAGAACCTGTGCCTCAGGTAAATTCTACTACTGTTGTATAAGGGAATAAAAATGTTTATAAATCAACATGCCACTAAATTGTACTTAGTGTCTTCCTAGTGTAGTGCTACCATTTTACCTGTTTTGAAAACCAAAAGCCAGAAAACTGATAAAGAAATAAGCATGACCATGTATTTATTTGTATACTTTCTCATCCCATTTCTCCATTTACTTGCTATTTATTTGGTGGTAAATGAAGTTAAGGTTGAAAGAATACATTCTTAATCAGATGGCCTAATCATCTTTTTATATTGGAATAGATATAACAAGGCAGAACTGACCCATGTTTGAATTGCAGTCTTTCAGAAGTTGATGAATGTTTATAATATTAACTTCTGTCAAGGGAAATAATTCAGCAGATGAAGAATAATGAATTTATTTTAATATCTCTACAGGAATTTATTCAGTGGAGCTTGTAAATGACAGCTTATATGAGTGGCATGTTAAACTTCTCAAGTAAGTGTTTTTGTTTGATTTTATTTGCTTGGTCAGTGGTAACCTTCTTTTCTACCCTAGACTTTGTAAAGTACTTGACTTATACTTCACTAATCAATTTGTGATGTCTTACTTTTAGTCATTCCAGTAAATAAACAAGTGTTTATTCAGTGTTCAACCTGTGCTTAGGCACTGTTGTGAATGCCAGAGATGCAAATGTGAGAAATGAAACTATGTCTACTCTCAAAAAGTTTATAGTCTTTGAGGAGAGACAATGTGTATATATGTCCATGTGTCTGTCTGTCTTCTCCCTCTCTCTCTGTCTGTCTCTCCCTCTGTCTCTCTCTATCCATCCATCTGTACAAAATAAATACAAGGTAGGTAGAGAGAAGGGGGGAAGGTGCTAGTAATTGGTGGGATCACGTGGAAGGAGGGAGAGAGGATTCTTTGAGGCAGAGATGAGAAGGGAGTACATTCCAGGCATGGGTAACAATGGGGATAGGAAATGGAGTAATGTGTGTGAAAATCAGAAAGCTTAAAGAGTGCTGAAAAGAAGTGTATCTCTTATTCTCCTATTAAACTGTAAGCTCCCTGAAGGCAGCAGATTGTGTTTTATCTAGCTTTATATCATTCCCAGTGTCTGGCTCACTGTTCTTTGGACACAGTAGCTTCGTATTAAATGTCCATTTAATTGAATACTAAATGATGATGCCATGCCCTGTAGCTTTCCATATTTAATTTTAAGGCACCTTAATCCTGTAGCACCTCTCCCTAAAAACCAAAACTGTGCTGTATATGGAACTTGGTACTCCTACCACTTGAAAAAGAATTTGTTTCTCAAAGTTAACTCAAGGTTTGGGATCACCTGCTTTCTAAGAAGATTAAACAGGATCATCAAGATATAGGCTGTAAGCAAGTGCACTTGGGAGTCGACGACCCCATGAGCAGTTGTAGGTACTTTTAGGGATGGAGGCTGGACCTATGATCTCATTGCTGTAGGGGTTGCCTTTCAGCAGTAGAGATTTAGACTACACAGAGCATTGAATTTCCTCCTTGGTCATAGCCCTTTCTGTGACTAAAACACAACCCTTTCAAAAACTATTTGGCCGTTGAAGGTACTTTTAGGCAGTACCAGGTAAAATGTTGGTAGGAAATGCTAAATGTTTCGAGTTATTTTATGCAATTAATTTAGCCTTATAATTAGAGTTTTCCTTAGATTGTTTATTTCAGTTTTAGTCTCTTTTGGAGAGAGGAAGCCAGTGAATCCTTAATACTATTACTTTGACATAGTAAAATAAGGTACAGAAAAGTTGTGTGAAACAAATGACATTTGAATTCTGGGTGGTACTCAGCAGCTTTAGAGAACCTCCCATTATTCAGTATCCCACTTGCTGATGCAGACAAAGGGGTTGACAAGACTCGAGTGCTTTGTGATAGAGGCAAGAAGAGTATCGCCCTTTGGGCTTTTATGGTGACCTTTAGGTAGGCTGTAACCAGTAAGACTGACCAGATGGCCACAGCTTCCTCAGACCCTCAGAAAACAACCCTGCACCTCCCCATGATGCTGTGGCCACTTGTCTGAGTGAGGCTGAAAAACTCCAGTTTGCGCCCTTAATTCTCATAGGAAACCAGATTGGATGAGCAGCTAACTGTTTCTGTGATTCATTCTTAACCGAAATGTGCTATCTTTTCACGTTAGAGTTGATCCTGACAGTCCATTACATCACGATCTTCAGGTCTTAAAAGACAAAGAAGGTGTAGAATACATTTTGCTTAACTTTTCTTTTAAGGTAAGAAAATCTCACTAAAATCCAAGTCAGATGTCAGTACTTTGATGCAAAATAGAGATAATGTTTTGCTGTATGACTATGTTCTAGTCATCTAATTGTTCTGAGCCTTGGTTTCCTCATCTCTAAAGTGGGAATAATATTCATACCATCTCCCTCATAGAGTCATTGTAAGGAAAGCATTTTGTAAACTCAGAAGCACTGTGGGAATGCAGACTTTTGGTTGTTATCATTTAGATAGAAAGGTTTCCCAGCTGTTTGTGAAGTTATCACTTGATGTAAAATGTTGACAGTTCTATCCCCTTGACTTACATAAACTCGAGTTAGTTCTTTAGGACCAGTTTGTCATAATCATCAACACGATCTTTTAGAGATGTATTAGCTTTTCTGGCATGCAGCAAAGATCTAACTAGAACTGACTCTTTATCTTTGACTTACTTACCTTTATCTTCCATTCAATAACATTCAACTTTTAATGGTTTACTCTATAGCTTAAATTCAATAAATTTACCTTCTCAGAATAACCGACATTTATGTAGTGCTTTATTGTTTACAAATACTTAACTGGGATGAACTCCTTGGATCCTCAGAACTTCCTGGTAGTTCACATATCGTTATTCATATTTTATATGTTAAGATACAGGGGTGGGGAACCTGTGGCTTCGAGGCCACATGTGGCCCTCTGGGTCCTCAAGTGCGGCCCTTTGAATCCAAACTTCACAGAACAAGTCCCCTTAATAAAAGGATTTGTTAGGGGCAACTAGGTGGTGAAGTGGATAGAGCTCCGGCCTTGGAGTCAGAAGGACCTGGGTTCAAATTCAGCCTCAGATACTTGACACTTACTAACTGTGTGACCCTGGGCAAGTCACTTAACCCCGATTACCTCACCAAAAAAAAAAGAAAAGGATTTGTTCTGTAAAACTTAGACTCCAAACCCAAGGACGTGGCCTTGAGGCCGCAGGCTTCTCGCCCCTAGTTAAGAAGCATAGGAAGGTTGTTTTTGACCTAGATTATACATGTAGCTAGTAATTGGCAGAAGGAGAATTCAGACCTAGGTCTTTGTATATTCCTGCTGGAATGTGTGTTTGTAGCTTCAGAAGACGCTGATATTTTGCCCCCTGTCCCCTATTTTTTCTTTTGTTTTTGGTGTGTTGTTCACTTGAGCCTTATTACCAGACAGATGTGGCCAGAGCCCTACAGATGGGTTCTCAGGGTCATGAGGACCTTGGCTCTCTCCAACCCAAATTATTTATACACAGTTACATCATTAGGGGATTGTTTTGTAAACAGATTTTGTGGTTTTTCTCCTCTAGTCAAACTGTTAGCAAGATTATGGCTTTTTTTAAACTTTTTTTTTAAAAAAACTATTGTCCCTTTTTGTGTAGTCTTTGTATTTTATGTTAGAATTTTTCCTTTCAATGTCCCCAACCAGTCTCAAGAGAATGAGATGAAGAGAAAACAGCACCAGGAAACCTCTGTATAATAAAGCAGGAGTGAGGAGGGAGATTAAGGAACACTTGCTGAGAGAATTTCCCGGGGATAGTTTTTAAAAATTAAACCTAACCTTAATTAGAGGGGAGGGATGACCTCGTTGTTTTGCCTCCTATGAACCTGGAAGCAAACTCCTTACGTGTGGCTGGTGCTTTTTCCACTCTTCTCTTTTGTTCCCCAATCCTCAGGCGCGTGATTTTGGACGTTTCTTTCCATCTGGGAGTTAAAATCGTATACTTTGGAGCCTTTGATTATCAAGGCAAAATTGTTTTGTTTTGGATGGGGAGAGATGGCAAATAGTAATTATAACAGTGATTGGAGGAGAAAAACCTCATTTTTCTCTCTTGATTCATCTTGTGTACTAGCATCTCACAGAGTTTGCAGGCTCAACATTTGGCTTAGAGTATGTTAATCTTTCATTGTTTTTTTTGGCTTTCACTTAGCGGAAAATAGTGAGTCTAACAAAGCTCAAAAGACGTTTGTTGAAACTCTAAACAAAAATTTCTCCAAGCCCCCTAGAGGCTGTTTCTTCAAACTTTATAGTAATATAAGTGTTCTAAGGCTATCGTCTCCTCTGGCTTGTGTTTCCTTTTCAGGATAACTTCCCTTTTGACCCGCCTTTTGTTCGTGTGGTGGCTCCTGTCCTCTCAGGAGGGTAAGTTTTTTTGGGTTCACTTGTGTCGAGAGGTTGAGTGGTTAGGGTTCAGAGTCTGTGTGTGTTTGGCAAGACTTAATGGGCCTCACATTTTCACTCATTTGTGATGTGGAGGGTAGAAGAAGTTGAGGAGTAACTTGAGAGTGAATGAATGGCACCCTCACGTCCTCTTCTCCTGCTGCATGCTTTGGGGTGCAATGAAAAAAACCTTCATGAGTCTCATGTACTGCTTCACAAGTGTGGCCTTGCAGTTTGGTCAGAACTTCTGTCTTTACTGTGTTGCAGATAGACGTTACGTAAAGGTTATGAAAGTTATATTCCTGGATTCACTTCTTTTAATGACTAAGTTAATGCTTTTGAAGGGTTTTAGGGAACCTCAAGGGCTAACACTCATGCTGGATGGAGAATTGTTTCCATCCACTTACTTTGTTTTGAATTGTAAGTGCTGCATATAATTCTTCAGGAACATCAACAGTTATTTGAACGTGAATTAGTGAAATGACCAGAGAACTTAGAATTAAAAGATTTATGCTCATCTTTGCTCTCTCAGTTGCTAGCTGGATTACTGGACACCGGTTATTTATCCTCTCTTAGCCTCAACTTTCCCACCTGTAAAATGGGGGTGATAATTATGGCTATTCACCTTATAGTGTTGACATAAGGAAAATATTATTAACCTTAAAGTACTATATGATATAAACCATGTGAGTGGTGTTCTTGACTGCTGAAAGACAGTCGAGTTAACAGTTTATATTTGGAGTGTGAAGATGTGAGGTTACCTCTCTCTCCAAAACCATTTTATGGGTAAGGAAGCTAAGTCTCAAAGAGATTGCCTTGACCTGAATGTTTACGTGGCCAGGGAGCATCAGCGCCTGGATTCCAGCCTCTCTATCCTAAGTGTGTTCCCCACTGTCTCATGTAACGGCTTCTATAGCCTGCTCGGCAGAGGCATTCAGCACATTCCCTTTCCTTGCCCATCTCTGGGTCCTCGGAGATCCTACCATATTGTAGACTTTGACTTTATGTTCAGATTAGGTCTGGACTGTGCTGGAGACATGCTGTTGGACTTATTTGAGCATGGTGTCCACTTCTCAGGCTCAGCTCAGGAGGTGAGGGGCTTTTAAAATACAGTTTGATGTCATTGTACAGAGCCCCTTCAGTGTTGCCTCTGCTTTAATAATCAGTGCAAGACCTCTCAGTATTGCTTTTTAAACATTCACTCACCTGGTAGCTGACGTCTGATCCCATGCTCTAATGGGATTCCAGTTCGGGTTGGCTCCTGCATAGGGTGCATAGGAGAGCCATAAGAGACAAAAAAGATCAGTCTCCCATCGACGATATGATGAGGGAATCAAAACACACATCAAGAAGAAGTCTCCTTCAGATCACCACAGAATGACGTCATGTAGATTGCTCAAGGTGCTCTAATTTCACTAAATTCCATGTTGTTACTCCTTAAATATTGTAAGAATATTTAGTCTAAATGAGCAATAGACATACGACAAAAAGCTTCCCTGTATTTTTCAGTAGTCCTGTGACTGTTTGTTTTGAGGGAACAGAGCCAGGGAAAAAGTCCTCACAGTTTTCTTTAAGTTTGAAATAGTGGTATCAGACTTTGCATCCTTGGACCAAAGCCCGTTCCTGCCCGGACCAAAGCCCGTTCCTGCCCAGACCAGCCTCACCCCAGCCCTCCAGCCACTTTGGCAGCTGTAACAGTTTTAATTATAACACTTCCAAAAATCAGTCAGTTTGTTTTGACCTCTCTGGTCTTTTATGCAGTCTCCCTATGCACCACACCATAACTTTCCATCCTTCAAAGTAGAATTAAAAACTTCATCTTCAATCTGAAGAGTCAGGCTCTCTAGCTGCCCTGCTTTTCCAGAAAACATGAACCTCCTACCTAAGCTTCTGGGCTTTATAATCAGCCTTCTTAGGAGGGTGCAGAGGGATTCCAAGTATCCAAGTATCCCCACTATAGCACTTTTAAGCACCAACTATGCACAAATCACTGGGTTGAGTGCTGAGAGAGAAGCCACAGTCATAGAATCCTGACTTCTAGCTAGAAGACCCAGTAGAAATCATGTACACCTACCCCTTCATCTTCTAGATCTTTGCCCTCAGGCAACTTGCTTTTTAATGGGGAGGTATGATACATGTATAAATGTATTATATGACGAGGGAGATGAATAAAGAAAATAATAGAAATATCATTTTTCAGCATTGTCTACTGCCTTCCCAGTGAGGACTAGGAATAAATGTAATAGTGATTTGTTCTCTAAAATTTGGCATTTGGAATCTAATATTTTCACTCCACTTAGGTGTGTTGAACTCCAGTTATGTAGAAGATACTCTGTTAGCCACTTTAGAGAGTGTAGAGATGTAAAAAAAAAAAAAAATTCCAGCTCTCAAAGAGCTTATGTTAATTAAATCATTCAAGGATAATAGTATAAGATAAATCTAAATGGGTGATTAATTACCAAATTAATTATTAAAGAAAATTAAATGGTTGCTGAGCTCAGGGTTAGGGGTAACAGGAAAGCAGTGCTGGAGAGGGTAATCCAGGAGGGCTTCACTGAGGAATTGGGGCTTAGAACTTTCCATCCTTCAGCATAGAATTCAAAAACCCCGATGAATGACATCCTGCAGTACTGAAAGACCTGGCTTATGAATTGATTGTTAGTACTATTGGAAAGGTCACAGAAAACAAGAGTTACCACACGGTTGGAGAAGGAAAGGCAGATGTCCCAATTAAAAAACAAAAACAAAATGAAAAAGAAAGGGGACAAACTCTAGGCCAGTGAGCTTGACTTTGATTCATGGAAAAGTTCTAGAAAGATTCATCCCAAAGATGGTTGATGAGCCTTTAGAAAGGGAAACGGTGATTACAGAAAGCCAACATGACTTCATCAGCCACCGGTCATACTGGACTTGTCTTAGTCCTTTCTAAACACGATCTCTGTATTGGTAGGTGAGGGGAAGGCTGTAGCCTATAACTTAATCTAGATTTTAACAAAATGTTTAGTCAAGTATTTCATGCTCTTCTTTTGGGAAAGATGAAGAGATGTAGACTAGATGTGATATAGCTGAACAGATTCAAAGATGTGTGTCCCTCAAGGCTCTGCCCTGGGCACCCCTTCCCTTTTCACTCTGTCCTCTCTTACTTGGAAATCTCATCAGCTCCCATGGATTCAGTGATCTTCTCTATGCAAATGATTCCCAGATTTATATAGCCATCCTTAGGGTCTCTGTTGAACTAGTCATGCATTTTCAACTGCCTCTTGGACACCTCAACATTGCATGTCCTATAGGAATCTCAGACTCCCTATGTCCAAAGAAAAACTCATGTTCCCTCCAAACCTTTCCACTTTTCTAAACTTGCCTCACTCTTGAGGGTTCTACCATCCTCTCAGTCACAAAGACCCCCAGCTTTGGTATCATCTACTCGCTCTTACTCCACATATCCATGGTTCAATTATTTCAGTTGTGTCTGACTCTTCATGACCCCATTTGGGATTTTCTTGACAAAGATACTAGAGTGGTCTGCCATTTTCTTTTCTAGCTCATTTTACAGATGAGGAAACTGAGGCAAGCAGGGTCACACAGCTAGTAAGTGTCTAAGGTAAGATTTCAGATCAGGAAGATGAGTTGTCCTGACTCCAGGCCCGCCCTGTAGGCACTGTGGCACCCCCTACCTGCCCACATACACCCAAGCCGTTGCCAAATCTTGTTTCTACCTTCTACCTTTGTGTACGTTCCTTTCTCTCCATTCATAGAACTCCAACACTAGTATAGGTCCTCCCCACTGCTCCCCTTCACTATTGCAATAGCCTTCTGGTTTGTCTCTCTCCCTTGGCTCTTGTCCCCACAACAGTCTGTCCTCCACTCAGTCGCTGCTCTGCTTAAGGAGCACCAGGGGCTCCCTGTCGCTTGTATGAGATCAATATAAAGACCTCTGGCATGTAGAGCTATTCATAACCTGCTCCTTTCATTTACTCTGTGATCCAGCTATACTGGCCTTCTTGGAGTTCCTTGGACTCAGTTCTCTATGTCGTGTGTCCAGATCTGCCACGCCTTTGCTTTGGCGTCCTGGGATGCTTTGGCCCCTTGTTTTCTCCTCCCAGTTCCTGTCCCTGGCTTCCTTTAAGATTCCTCTTGAAGGCCACTTTGGTCAGGAGGTTTCTCTTGGTTTCCCCAGCTGCTAATGCCTTCCCCTTTCAGATTATCATCATATACTGTGTACATATCTTGTATGTACCTAAATATTTGTATGCTGTCTTTATAGGTAATAGGTACTTTCTTTAAGAGCAGGGACTGTTGGGGGTTTTTTGGCCTTTCTTTGTATCCCCAGTGCCTAGCACAGTGCCTGACACACAGTAGGTACTTAATAAATGTACTTGTTGATTGATCAGCCACTATTGGAGTGAATGACTGGGTGCATGCAATCAAATACCAGCTTGTATTGATTTGACTCTGGTATTGTCAGCATCCGTCTTCTCCTTTTCACTAATATGGTCACCACCATATTTTTTTGTCTTTGACACCTCTTGCTTAGATTATCTTAAGAGTCTCTCAACTGTTTGTCCTTCTAGATTTTCCCCTCTCTCTAATCCTTTTTGCTCTTCCAAAGCAAGATACTTTTTTAAATCACCTTCATTACCCAATATTTCCCCATCCCTCCCCATCTAGAAATCCATCTTATAACAAAGAAAAGGTGGTTCATCAAGACTGACCAGTGTAGCCCCCAAGTCCCCCATTACATGCTTCCTCCTGCAAAGAAGGGGAGGAAGGAGAGGTGTTTTTATGACTCTTGTGGGGCCACGCTCTGTCATCATTACAGAACGTTCCATTCTAGTTTTTGTTGTTTTTTCTATTTGGTTCTCCTTGAGTTCATACAAGTCTTCCACATTCCTCCTTATATTCAGATTTACCAACTTTTTTACAGTACGGCAGTACTCCGCATTTGTATGCCACAATTTGCATAGCCATTCCTCAGTCCTTTGTTATTTTAAAAAAGTGTTGTTATAAATATATTGGCATTGGTGTATCAGACCTTCTGTATTTGACCAACTTGGGGTATGTATTCTTAGCAGCGGGATCTCTGAGCCGAAGAGTATGGCTCCACTAATGACATTCTAGTGTCCCTGCCTTTGCAGAGCCTCTCCAGAATTTCCTGGTTCCATTTTTTGTCATCTTTGCCCATTTTCTGGATGTGATTTGAAACCTCAAAGCTACTTTGATTTGCATTTCTCTCATTAGTGATTTGGGTCAATTTCTCCAGTTGTTCAGGGCTTACCATTCTTCTTTTGAAAACTCTTTGACCTTTGACTACTTTCCTGTCCTTTGGAGAGTGACAAAGTAATTTCCTTAAAGCACCAACACATTTGGGTCATTACTCTGCTCAGAAACCTCAGTGACTCCCCTGAAACTCCCCTCAGGAACTGTGAGTCTGGCATTCAAGGACCTTTACAGTCTGTCTAGAATGCTGTTTCTATCATTTTTCACCTGAGCCCCCTCGTGTGCTCACGCTGACGCTAAACTGATCTGAAGGACCTTGACTTGAATCCTACTTTCTTTTGCCTTGTCTTTGCATTTACTTACTGCCAGGCCATAGAGGCCCACTGCCTGGCTCTGTCCTTCAGCAGGGGGTTAGCTCGGGGACCCTCCTCAGCTCCACAACCAGAACTGACCCATCACACCCTGAATCTGTCAGGTCACCCTGCTTGACTTCTCTTCCACGTGGCATCATTTTCTAACTTGTCTTACAATTATGTGGGTCTGTGTCTTATTCTCCTGCTAAGTATAAGCTCCTTGTAGTCAGGGGCTGTCATTTTACGTCTTTATCTCCCCAGCACCTCAAACTAGTAGATCTGTAATAAGTGCTAATTGAACATGCTGAATAGGTAAGGTGGGGGTATTGAGCTAATGCACCTTAAGGACTTTGTAAACCAGAAGGCCCTGTCCCAGTTTGAGCCATCATCACTTGTTGCGGGGGAACAGAAACCATGAGCAAAAATCTGAAGGCAGGAAGGGGCAAAACGTACTCTGGAAAAGACTCTAGGTCAGGTACATGTAGGAAAATAGCATTGCCAAGGAGAGAAAGGTATACTCAGTGCCTTAGTGGCCAGGCTCACAATTTGCCCCTCCCCCCCTTATATATGAAAGTGTTGTTGATGGTTTCTGAGCTGGGCAGTCTTGTCTCTGTGATGTAGACCTTCGGACAGCTGTGGAACACATCATTTTATCGTGCCTTGTGTTTTCCTCAGCTTTGAGTTGACCACTCGCACTTTCTCTGTATACCAGTACACAACTGTCTCAGCTTTCAAAATGTAATTTTGAAACCACATCTTTAACAAAGGCTTTGCTGACTGGCCAGAATTGTTTTTTCTACTGGCCCAAGAACATAGCCTGCCTTGGACCTTGTATCAGTAATCCTTGACCCAAAACATTGTTGTGTGGTTTGGAAACATTAACTCCTCTTTCCATATAGGTAAGCTGTAGCTCATTGACATATTGGAGGATGACATGAAGCATGTCACCATTCAGCAGAAAAGTGCCTCACTTGGTCTGATAGAAGAAAGGGAGATGCAGTGGCTACAGTGGAAAGATTCTGGCCTAGGGGTGAATTGTGCCTCAAACACTCTTAGCTGAGTGATCCTGGGCAGATACCTTAGTCTCCCTAAGCCTCAGTTTGCTCATCTGAAAACGAAGATAAGAATACTTACCTCACAAGGTCAGGAGGATGAACTTAAATGAGATAAAGCACAAAAGCGCTTAGCTAACCTTCATGCGCTAATTGTTGCTGTCATCATTACTGCAATATGGTCACCTTCTGATTATCCACGGTGTAAATTATTGGAAGCCTAGGAAATGATCCTCAGTGATCCGCTGTTGGACTTGTCAAGTGGGCTGGGACTTTGCTTACCCTTTGGGAGGCAATGTTGGGTTGAGCTGGGTAGAGCATAGCCTTGTCACTGACCCCACGCTCCTTCTAGCCTTCTGGGCAGGGATTGTGATTAGCCCCGTCAGGGCTCGACGTGCTGGGTGTCATAAAAGATTTGGACAGCCCACTTTGCTGCTCTGCTGTGTTGTTGACTCAAATAACATTATTATTCTTAAATTAAATCATACTTTGTTGGACTTCCAGCACTAATTCAAGGTTTCCATTATCTACTCATCTAAAACAAGGCAACTTATTCTTCAGGTGGCAAGGCCGACCAGCTTCTCCTTTCCCTAAGAGTTGCCCAGGCACACAACTCTCTCTTACCTGGAATGTCTAAACCCCTTTAAGTGAGCTTTGAGCCCTCTTAAAGATGCTGCTTTCATCCTTCTTGTGGTGGTCGACAGTATGTTGCTACAGGGGACTCTGGGCCTTGTCCTCCTCTTCTGCTGTCCTCGCATTCTTTTGTGGCTCATCCGGCATCTTTAACTCTTTGTTTGGAGGCTAGAAGAGACACTAGCTACATGAGACCGAGGTCACAGGCAGAATCATAGGCCTTAGCACGAGATCCTCCACCTACCTCCCATTTTATACATGGGAAAACTAAGGCCCGGAGAGGGAGGGCAATTCTCTGTGAGGCATGTGGCTAGAAAGTGGCAAAGCTAGAGCACAGCCCTTTGGGGGCTTCTGCATTTATATGGAAGAAGTACTTAAAATGTTAGGATGAGATGGTAGAAATTGCTCGTCTTGGCCTTATTTTACAGAAAGGGAAACCATGGCCCCCAAATGGGAAAACACGCAGTGGTTATGTGGATATTAAGCTGTAGAGGTAACATTCAACCCCAGACCTCCAGACACTAGGTCCAGTTCTCCCTTTGCTACCATGCACTCCCTCTTGTGGAGAAGTGTTTGGTTATTTTTCTTCTTAATTTCTCTGGACACCATTTCCTGACCAGGTAGACATCCGCCTTACATCTCTTAAAACTTGTAAATTTTGAATGACACGAAATAACTTGGGGGAGGGCAAGGGGGGGGTGCGGAGGAGGAGGAGAGAGAGAATACCAAATTCTTGGTAATCATTCATCAGTACTGGAATGACGGTTATCTTTGATGAGCACATCCATTTTCACAAAACTCAGAGCTTTTCCAGATTTTGTCATTAATCCTCAAAAGATGGCTCAGGTTTGTTTTTGTTAGTTTGTCTTTTCTGTTTTTATTCGGGAGGGGATAGTGAGAGATGATCGGACCAGATCTGGGGTTTTTTTTTTTTCCATTTGCATAGGAAACTCCCCCTACCTAAGTTAGTCATATGCTACATATTGATTTGCTCAGAATTGTTTAAAAAAATTCATGCTTTCCTTTCTTAAATTTAATTATCCACATGTGTTGAGCTTTGTGACATGTATGAATAATGAATTCCATAAATGGGGGTCCTGTCTTGTGTTCCAGGCTGTGGGATAGGCCCCAGGGAGAATTCAGAGTCTAACTGGATCATATGGCTCTACCCTCCCCCCCGCTTCCATGTTGTGTGTCCGCAATGGAAAAAGTGGTCCTATCTGGGAGGCCCCATGGAAGAGTCAGACATCAGGGTGACTTAGAGAGATCTCAAAAGGTCCCAGAGACATTCCAGGGCATGGGAGAAGTTTGGGGGAGCAGAGATGTCGTGGTCATTCTGCTTCTAGGGAGAGAGCGTGGGAATGCCCACGTGAGGGGCTTAGGCTCGATCCTTAGGCAGTGGAGGGCCATTGCAGGTTTGTGAGATGAGAAGTGATGTGGTATAAGTGGCATTTCAGGAAGATCTGCTGATAATGTACAAAATGGGTTTGAGGGCAGTTAGACTGGCAGTAGCACATGGACCTATGGATCTTAGAGCTGGAAGGGACCTTTATTGATCATTGAGGCCAGCTCCTTCATTTTTCAGATGAGGAAAACTGAGGCACAAAGAATGTAGGGATTTGCCCGGGATCACATACCTAGTAAACGTCTGACCTAGGCTATCCACCCAGGTCTTCCTGACTCCCAGTCTGGTGCCCTGTTTGTGATGCCAGGCTTGTGGCGCTGCGTTGGTGCTGAGCCAGGCTGGTTTCCTGGAGGTTTTCTTGGATTCCTAGAGAGTTCCTCAGGGCCAGGAGAGAGACTTGAATAGGGGTAAGGGTTTGGGAAGGACACATCAAAAGGAGGCAAGTAACCAAAACAAGGTAATGTGAAAATAAGTAGAAGAGAGTGACAGTATGAAAAGAAAATGTGGTGTGAGGAGAGGACACATTGTGATAGTGAAAAGGGAAATCAGAAACTTCACTGGATAATACCAACCTTTGGCCTTATATAAGGAGACCTTATGTAAAATGTTTTTGTTTGCCTTCTCCTAAAGTTCTGACTGGGAATAATTCTTAGGCTATGACATAATATAGGCCTTAGTGAAAAGGGATTTTAGTATAAATTTTCAGTAGAGGCAGAAAGAAATATTGACAAGTAGAGAATGAAGTCTGACTCTTAGTTTCTCTTTAAGGTACGTGTTGGGTGGCGGTGCTTTATGCATGGAACTTCTCACAAAACAGGTAAATGTATTTCGTGTTACATTTCTTTGTCACGTGCAGTATGAAGTTCTAGTAGTTTTAAATGAGATAGCCCCAGATAAATTACAGTGTGGTGAGTGTGGGCCCTTCAGACACCCTGGTAAGAGCATGAAGCCATCCTCCTAAAGAGCCCATGGTTATATCAGTGAGACCCGATCTCTGACCTCTCTGCCCTGGCAACCTGGTGGCCAGGAACAATGAAGGCCTCTTGTTGGCCCCCACCAGGGAGGAGCCAGACCCCCAGGGCCTCAAACCCAGCCTGCCCTAGAAGCCTTTGTGCTCTCTCAGGTAGGAGCAGAATGAGGCCTGACAAGGACCTTCATGCAGGATCAAATCAATGTGAAAAGTTAACTTTAAAGGCAAGTTTTAATTTTCAGTTATTAATAAATGTCACCTACTTATGATATAGTTTCTTGTCTTTTGAGGGTCTGGAAACGCGTTCAACTTGGCCTTTTCCTCTTCGTTACAAGCTTCATGTGTTAAGCAGTTATTAAACTGACAGACTTCATTTATACCTCTCCTCCTTGGTGAATAACAGAAGGAGTTTACAGTCATCAGTATGTTTGTCAAATTAGATGTCCCAAAGTGAGTCACCACATGTTTGGAGACATCTCTCCTTTCTCCTCTAGGGCTGGAGTAGTGCCTATTCAACAGAGTCGGTCATCATGCAGATCAACGCCACTTTAGTCAAAGGAAAAGCCAGAGTACAGTTTGGAGCTAATAAGGTAACTTTATCCAGACTGCCCCCCTTTTCCCCTTCCCCACTACCACTTAAGTGCAGAATACAAAATGAGCCTATTTCATGAGAAATAACCGATGGGGTTCTGAAAAGTTACATGTAGTAAAATTGTCAGTTGAATAATTTTCCTTTTGACTTTCTTCACATCAGAGAGATTTTATTTCAGATTGGTTTTCAATTGACTAGACCTGTATACTTTGTCTTTCTTCCTTACTGGAAGGATAATCACAGTAACACTCATTTATGTGTTACTTGGTTTTTCTAAGTGGTTTTTCATTAATTATCTCATTTTATCTTCAAAACAACCTTGTGAGAAAAGTCTTATTATCATTTGATCCTCCAAACAACCCTGTGAGGTAGATTTTACTGTAGACAAAGAAACTGAGACTCAGAAAGGGAAAGAGACTTACCCAGAATTCTGCAGCTAGTAAGTGCCTGAGGCAGGATTTGAACCCAGGGCTTCTGGACTCCAGGTTCAGTGCTATCTTTATTAAGTCTTGACTAAACAATTCAGTGGGGATGGGGGGGTGGGGAGATAGTGCCCATTTAAAATCATTTTTCAGAAAGGCTTTCTTTTTTTGTTGTTGTTTTTCTTTTTGATGAGGCATGGGATTTAAGTGACTTCCCCAGGGTCACACAGCTAGTAAGTGTCAAGTATCTGAGGCCGGATTTGAACTCGGGTCCTCCTGACTCCAGGACCAGTGCTCTATCCACTGTGCCACTTAGCTGCCCCTCAGGAAGGCTTTCTACAAAGAGAAGAGTCTTTCTTAGTCAGTCACCCTCCAATTTAAATTTGGTTTTCCATATGTTGGTTTTTTGCCTCTGTTTGGATTTCCTATAAACATAGGTCCAAGGAGCTCTTACTTTAACAAGAACAATTTTGGAGCAGACCTATGAACTCCTCCAGTGTTGCCCAGAGAGTCTTAAGGCCTTGCCCAGGGCTACACAGTAACAAGTGTCGGAAGCAGGGCTTGAAGCTGACTCCTTCTGACTCCAAGTCTGGCTTTCTATCCGATGACCCACACTCTCTTTCTGTATTCATCTTGTTACTGGTGTTCAGTTATTTTCGATTGTGTCCAACTCTTCGTGACTCCTTTAGGGGTTTTCTTGACAAAGATACCAGAGCAGTTTCCCATTTCCCTTTCCAGCTCATTTTACAGATGAGGAAACTGAGGCAAGCAGGGTCATTTGAACTCAAGTCTTCCTGAGTCCAGGCCTGATACTTTATCTACTGAACCACCTAGCTGCCTCTACTTTTATCTCAATGTTGTCAAAATGTGATATAAGGGGATTATTGGGAAAGAGGCCTTCCTGGTTTGGTATTTGGATAGCATATGGGAAATGAGCTTGCACAGAGGATTTGTTTAGAGGCAAAAGATAAGGAAAAGGCCATAAACAGTATGTCAGGAGAAATAAAAGGTTCCCTGTTTCTTTCAGAGATTTTTTTTTTGCAATTATTTAAAATGGAAGAAAAGAATGTTTTAAATGAAAAGATGCATTGAGTCCATGATTTCATGAGTGTGGGTACCTTCTCCACAAAGATAACAACCCCTTCTAATCTCTGATGTCATCATGACTCCACGACAATCACCCCTTGACAGGGATCAGCCCCCTGGTGACTAGCTGTTCTTCCCATGTTGGCAAGGCTGATCCTGTCTCTTCCCCTCCCCAACACACACACCCCCTTCCCCTGCCCTGACTCAGGCCTCTGGAACAAGGACACCAGGGCAGTGCTGGTCAAGTGGCAGAGGCAGGACATTGTGGTGGACTGAAGTCTAAAGACCTGGATGTGTGACCTCGGGCAAGTCACATCAACTTCTGGGTCTCAGTTTTCCTATCTCTAAAACGGGGGTGATGATGATAATAATTCCACAACATACTTTCCAGGGCTGTTGGAGGGAAATCACTTTGTAAAAATAGGTAAATGAGTTAGAAGTCCTTGTAAAGGGAGATCCTGAGATGTCCTCATTTTGAGGAGGTAGGAGGAAGGTGAAATTGAGGGAGGAAATGGTGTAGCTTGTGAGATGAGATCTCAGGTTACTAGACCTGGGAACAACGTGTTCCATCTTGTGTCTAAAGAATCAGACAAGATGTTTGTGAACTTCAAAGCACTCTCAGTGCCAGCTGTTCTTTGGTGATCATAGGCACTGTTGGTTATATGTCATTGATTGTATTATAATAAGTGATGCCCTAATTACTTCTTGGTCTAAAATCTGTTTAAAACTCTTCCTTTCAGAATCAGTATAATCTAGCAAGAGCACAGCAGTCCTATAAATCCCTAGTACAGATACATGAGAAAAATGGTATGTTAAATTGTCATTTTGGAGCTATGTGGTCGTAAATGCATTCATCGTGTGGATTTTATGAATGGTTTGCAGCAATTTCAGCAAAACTTCTTAACTCAGACTGTGGCAGTTTTGTATTTGTGGTAATCAGGATCACTGTTGAACCATTGTTTACCTTTGCAGACCAAAAAAAAGGCATTTTTTAGGCACATTAATGATAGAAACAAAATTCCCTTCATCAAGTACCAATGTGCCAGCTGGGCTCCAAGGATACAGAGACAAGGCAGAAGCCATCGGTGTCTTCAGAGAGTTTCTGTGCTCCTGGAGGTCACGGTGCCATTTTCAGAGGAGGACTGAAAGTGAAGGAGGGAACACCAGATCTGGAGTCAGGAGACCCGAGTTCAAATCCTGACTCTGCCACTTAAAAACTCTTGTTTTCTCTTCTTTGAAATGGAGATAGTAAGATTAGTGAAGTGCCATAGAAATGGAGGGTGGCAATTATCGTTAATATGTCCTGATTCTGCCACTTAATACTTGTGTATGGCAAACCCCTTCCCTTCTTTGAGAGTGGACTAGCTTACCTCCTGAAATCCCTTCAGGTCTAGATCCTCCGATCCACTTTAAATGAGCACATTGATTTAAAGCTTCTGACCTTTTACAGATTCCTGTTGGCCTTAGTCTAAGTGAGGATTATTTAGTGTTTACAAATAAACCTCTCTGTTTTCACATGAAACTGGTTTTTAATGACTCCTGAACAAAAACCAGTACCTTCTTGAGCCCCGTAAATTACTTTGGTGAGAAGTGACGGCCTGCCTTGTGTCACAGACACTCCCAATTGTGACCTTTCCCTACATGGTGACTGTGGTCATTCTATCGAAAATAAGGCTGCAAAATAGATAGTAATTGTGCTGTAGTTGAAGAAATAACTTGAACTTTCTAGGCTAGGAAGGAGCCTCAGCTGTCAGCCATTACCATCTAACAGCTAACACACCAGAAACGGCTATTTATCTCCAAACATCCCAGCCCTGATGACTCCATTCCTCCCAAATGTTCTATTTGGATACTTCAAAAATCTTGCATTTTGCTACCCTTGTGATCCAATATTAATTATCTGGCACAGTGGATATTTACCTTTTTTGATGGAGGTGAAGTTAACAGCAATAAATATGAGTTCTAGCAAGCATACTCAGCATTGATTATACTTTGATTATTTGAAAACTCAGGTGTGTGGGTGGATGGGTGAAACTCATTAACAGTGGGATGCCATTGGAGAGACTGCTGGACTGGGAATGGGGTCCTGGATGCTGGGAATTCGAGTACTATAGAGATTTTATTTTCCATTATAATTTAAAATCAGTTGCTAATAACTGTCTTACGTTATGTGGACTTTGCATTGCTTTTGTTATCAATACAGGCCAAGGTTTCTCCAAGTTTTATAGCAAGTTTAAACACTAAAAGGAAAGGTAAAGACAGTGATTAAGCTTTCTTTTCTGAAAGGCTGAGCCGAAGCCTTGAGTTGTTGAAGGCACCAGCTCATGAAACCATCTTTGTTTTTCCCCTTCTCAGGCTGGTACACACCTCCAAAGGAAGATGGTTAAGTGGATGAACCATTCTTTGCCTGGACCGCTGTCACTATAATGAAATTCTTGCCAGCAGACAGTAAGCTACAAGTGCCCCTATAAACAGCCGTACAGAAGACTTTAGCTATTAAATTTGTTAGTGGATAAAATGTTATTTGACATCCAGTGTAGGTTACAGCCTTTCCATTCTGCTCATCACAGTTATCTTGGACTGAGCAGTTTGGGCCCTTTTTTTGGACCATTTCTTCCCATCTCCCTTTCATTGAAAGTGAAACCTCTAAAGCAGGCAAGTCAGCAGCTTCAGTTACACGTGAGCAAGCACACACACGTTAGATGAATTGCAGTGGGGTTTGAGATTCTTACCTTTCATAGGATAACGGACTACAAAGACTTGCAACATATGGTTTCATTTAAAGCCAGTAAAATTTCAAACATTGTTTAATACTGTTTTAGAGATTTCAGGTCTTATAAAATCACAGGTTTGGTTTTTGTTTTGGTTTTTTTTCTGGTCTAAAATGAAAACATTTATAGTATTGCCCAATTAATAGGAAACCCCACATAAATGTTGTCATTACACTTTTTAAAAATGGCTGCATGAAGATATGAACTGTTTCTCAAAGAGATGCTTGTGATTGGACTATGTTGTACTCGAGCAGAGCAAGGCTGTGCCAATTACAAACTTGGAGCTCGGCATTTCCACTGGGGCCTTGGTCTTGCCGGGCTAGACCTGTTATTCATGGGTTCAATTGATCTTACAAAGAGGAGCCACAATAGAAAGCTTGAAGCTATTTAAAATACTAAAAAGCCGTTGGGGATGTTCCATTTATTATTAACGGGGTGTTGCAATCATTTGTAAACTAATGAACTTCTAAAGTGATTGGCACAAGAAAACTCAGTCTTTGAGCAAACTCTCATACATCAGAGAGCAAAAAGACATCACTTGTGAATAATCTCAAAGTAATGTTGCCGGAGTTGTAGCCGTGTTAAAAGACTGAAGGAAACATACACGTGATGTGAATGCTTTTTCTCTTTCTTAGAAAATGGTATGAATTGGTGTAATGTCTTCATTTTATTGCCTTACTTGACCACTTCTATTTGGTTACTAACAGACCTTTTGTACCCCAGGTTTAAATTAAAGGTATGATTTAAGTATTAAGCACTTTTTAAAAGAAACCCAGGAGCAGCACATCTTCGTATTCCATACCTGTCAGTTGAAACATGAAATGGTTTTTTTCTTATCAGGCATTTGCTTTAAGATCAAATTTTTAGCTTTGAAAACCACTTCGGAAAGACTTGGCACTACTTCTGATATCTTGTTTTTAATTACCTTTTAGGTTGTATGTTGTTTGTTCTTCGTTTTAAATTAAAGGTAGATGAAGATGTCCTAGCCTCCTTGTTTATTTGGTTCTGTTTGTATAAAGTCCTGCTATCTTGTTGCTCAGATAACAGCCTTAAATGTTAAGGCAGATCTCTTTTTAAGCATTTTAAAGTTCCTTAAACCTGAGGCTAAAATATTGAATACATTATTGAATTCTTTAATACTCAGATGGATAACAGGTTGACAGCTGTGCATTTGGCATGCTTAGTTTTGGATTCCATTTTTCATTGCAGAATTATTTGGCAATGTAAAGTCAATTTGTAAACTTGCATCAAGTTTATGAATAAAGAACCATTTTAAAAGTGATAAAGTTTCATTTATGCCTCTGAAGATAGGCTGCTTTATACAAGGTTAAGTTCATGATAAAGGTTTATTTAGGTCAGTCTTCATATATGACGTTTCAAGATCATAAACCACAGTTTTACCTATTTTTCAAATTTCAGAAACTGAGTACTATATATTCAGATATAGTAATATACTTGTGTGATAATATATCTCAAGTAGTCATTGATTTTCCCTGAGTTACAAGATATCCTTTCCTAATTTTAAAGTGCAATACGTGAGTTTATTTATATAAGAGGTTAACTTTTAAGATTCTGATGTCTGGAACTCTCAGACTTGTGCCAAGTTAGAAGAATAATCTCATACAATTGCTGTGTGAGAGATGCAGCTTACACTGCCTCAGAAAGTCATTATGACAGGGTCACATCCCTCTTCTCCAATGCAGTGGGGAGGTGCCCACTTCTGAAGGCTGATTCAGCAGGAAAGAGATGGAGAAGCATACATGTCAGGGAAAGTCTCTGAAGATCAAAATTGCCATGCCCTTACAGAAGCTGGAAGCTTTCCTACATCTGTACCCACAACCAAGCCACCTCAACCAACCAACAAACATTTCTTAACCATCTGCTTAATGCCAGGCACTATGGGAGACCCTAGGAACATAAAGACAGGTGAAGTAGGCCTTGATCTGGAGGGGAGACAGCTCATATACATGAGCATTTGCTGAGTGTACACAAGGTAATTTGGGAGGGGAGAGCATTAGCAGCTACTGGAATGTTGCAGGTAGTGCTTTAAAGCACATCAAAGATGCTAAGGGGTGAAGGTGAGGAAGGAATGCCTCACGGACAAGGGGAATAATGGCCTGTCCAAGGGCATCCAGGCGGCAGATGGGCCGTCTTGTTCGAGGCAGGCCAGTTTGGCTGAATTGAAGATTACTATAGATAAATAATGTATTACAGTCCCAGAAAGGAATGTTGGGACCAGGTTGTGAAGAATTTTAAATGTATTTGATCCCAGAGCAGAGGCGTGCCATGGTCATACTTGGGATGGTCACTAGCAGCCCATCATATTAACTATGTATACTTCCCTATTCCTAGGATAGCCAGGGATTTGCCGAAATTTTGGCCCACTGCACTGTTCACATTTTGACTCATATCTGGCTGTGGTGCTGATAATGTCACGAAACTGTAAAGTGCTCTCATCTGCATATACTGAGAGAACAGTGACCAGAAGGCACACTAAACTGACCAAAGGAAGGCATCTCTTACAGCAATATGCATAAAAGAAAGCTACTTCTAAAATATCCAGCTGGAGACCAAAGACAACTGGCTGTAACATACTGCCTACAACTGCAGAGAATTACCTGTCTAGTTATTAGCAATATAATTTAAGTAGTGTTTTTAATAGCGTAATCAGCAAGTTTGCTTTTTTACATTACAACAAAGAAGAATTAAGAAAAGTCTACCGAAAGAGCAACCAGGCCTGGCATGATATGCAATTTTCTGCACCTGTCATCTCTAACGTGACTGATAACAGTTGATTTGAACAGTGGACTTGAAGTTTTTGCAGCCATTTTGGTAACGGTTTTCCCATATCACAAGTAAATAGTATTCTTTTCAATTCAAAGCATTCATTAAGCACCTGTGTACTTATCTCTGTGGATGCAAAGACAAAAACAGATTTGAAGAAATCCCATTTTGTAAAGTGATTTTGCAAAAAAGATTTTGCAAAGTGAATCATCCTATGTCTTTTTGTTAAAGCCAGAAATTTGAATAGGCGTGCTTGAAGTGAGATATACCTGTGGTCCCGCTGTGATTGATACCTTGCTAGATTGTGATTGCCCAGCTTAACAGTGTATTGCCTAGCTTCCATCTCTCCCCTCAGATCCCATGCCATTCTCAATTCACATCTGTGGATTTTGCTACCTTCTACAGACTCACAGAACACAGAAGCAAGACAGGACCTTTATGATGTCTGATCTAACCTGTCTTATTTTATAGATGAGGAAAATGATCTCCAGAGAAGTGAAAGGAGTTGGCTAGGGTCACACAGCAAGTAACAAGCAGACTTGAATCCACGGCTTGCCCAGTCCATACCCAGAGAAGCCACTGTGACACGTGTCTAACAAACCAAACAGGCTTTGCTTGAAGATGGCTGCTGAGGGAAAACCTGGCTGCTCCTGAGTCAGTCCACTGACCGCTCTCCTCAGAAGGTATTTTCTTAGATCATCTCTGCCAACTTCCGCTCAGTGCTCTAGGTCCGCCCTCAGTGGGCACACAGAGAGAACAGGCGGAATCCCTCTTGCCTTCAAAGTCTCCTTCAAATAGGCAAAACAGCAGTCGGACCCTCCCTCAGTCTTTCCCATCAGGCTGAACATTCTTTTCTCCTTCTCCCAAATACTCACGCAATCTGTTCTTAAGCCTCTTCATCACCCTCTTTGCCCTTCTCTGGAAAACCTTGACCTTATCATTGTGCGCTGCCTAAAACGTGGCGGGCGGCCTGAACACGTTACTACGCTTGTGGGCTGGATTCCCTCTGCCTAGATGATAGGCCTCTCATAATAGAGCCGAAGGTTTCGGTTGCCATAGCACGCTACTGATTCATTCATGTCTCAGTGCAGTCTGGGTGATTGAGGTTCAGGATCTCAAGTATAGCCAGGGGCTGCAGAGAAAGGAAACCAAGCTAGCTTTTATGTGCAGTAAAGAGGAGTGGTCAAGGAGGATGAGAACACAGCTGCTAGGAGGTGTATGGCAGGGGCGTGATTGGGTATGCTGGAACCAGAAAAATCTCCAGGGTTTTTAACGGCTGCTTACGTGGATCAAGCAGGACCGGGTGCCAGCAAGGGAAGGAAGAGCCCAGACCTAGTGTGTAAACTCAGACAGTGCTCATTGATGCTGGTGGTGGTGGGAGGGAGATGCCTGGGCTTCTGGTGACTAGCTGATCCTCAAGTGTCTGAAGATAAGAAAAGGTGGCTTCTGGCCATTACTAAAGGCTTTATTTTAACAAGGTGACAGGAGATTTAACCCCCTCCCCTATGGCTTCATTTAGCAAGGAGGGAAGGGGCATTTATATAGTGCCTAATATGTGCCAGTAATATTAAGTATTTTTATAATGTTCCATGTTTCATCTTTCTTGCTTTAGAAACATTTGAAGAGACAGTGTGTTAGAATGGAATGAGGGCTGGACTCCAGGTGAGGAAATGTAGGAGGCCAGGTCTGACTCGGGTCAGTCTGGTAGTTAAGGTTCAAGATTAGAGGGAAAGGAGACACTTCTAGTCAGTGGTGTGTTGGGAAGTGTTTTAACAACTGGTTGTGGGGGGAGGGGGAGGGGATGTGTGTGTGTGTGTGTGTGTGTGTGTGTGTGTGTGTACATAACTTTATTATAGATTTTCCTGACATAAACGATATGTACCACGAAATTTACAAATAATAAAATATACAGTACTCTTTATTATAAATTCCAAATAGCCAGTTGATTCTCACAGAATACTTTTGTTGATTTTTGCCAGACTTGTCACAGTTGCAGTTCACGTATGGTTTGATGAATGGAGTTGCATCCCAATCTGCCAACTCTTTCCTCAACAAATTGTTATTAAATCTGTTATATGATCTCCTATTAAACTATTCCTCATCCTCTTACAAATTCTATTCATTAAACTGAAACCTCTTTTGGCTTCAGCCCTATTGGTAGCAATAGTGCTGATTACCTTTTTTTAGCATTTTGTATAGTTGTAGAGAGTGGAATATTGATTCTGTATTACTCTCTACAAAATCCCCCATATCATTCAAATCAATTTCACATTTTAAAATTTCACTTAAATATGCATGTAGATATAGCTGTCCATGGTGAAGTTCTTCATAAGGGCCAAGTAGATGGTTCTAATCAAAATAATTAAAAATTTTGTCACTTTTTTTGGTCCAATAAACAATACATGTTCTTATGTTGAATTAGATTTTCTAGGAAGAGCATAAAATTAATTCTTTTTCATTAAATGGAATTTTTTTCCCCTTTTCTTTTTTCTTTTTTCTTTTTTTTTTTTTTTGGCTAGGCAATTGGGGTTAAGTGACTTGGCCAGGGTCACACTAAATGGAATGTTTTTAAACTTAACTGACTTACTCAAATCTTCATCTAAAAAATCATGCTTTCCAGTGTCAATCTTTAAATTTTCCAGAGCTCTTATGGTACATTTGATTAATTTTTGCGCTTTCTGAATGTGAGTTGATCTTTTCTGCAGTGTGGTGGAAAGTAAAGAAAATTCTTCAAGGGTGTCAATCATTAAAACAAAGATCTTAACAAGAAATTAATGTTAGCTAATCTCTTTACCAAACCAGAATAAGAAGAAAGAGAAAAATGCATGTATAATGTGGGTTGTGCCCACTGTATAGCAATACACATGCCATCCATCTGAGTTCAAGCACTTGACAAATTTTAATAATTTCAATTTCACATTCTTCTAACTACAGTGTTTAATAGTTTGATTTTTATTGCTTTGGTGGTAAAGAGAATAAATTTTATCCAGAAATGTCTTAAAATTAACTTTTTTTTTTTTACTTCAAATGTCAGTCAATAAACATTTATGAAGCTTCTGCTATGTGCCAGGCACTGTGCTAAGTGCTGGGGGGAGGGAGAATGCAGATGCCCCTATCTTCAAGGAGCGAGCTTACAATCTAATGGGGGATGATAACACATAAAAGGAAGCTGGAGGTGGGTTGGGAGAGAAGGCCTCCAGAATGAGGGCAAGATGGAAAAGCTCAAAGGCAAGAAGCCCGGCAGGCTGGCCTGGACACCTTCCTTAAATGGAAGTTTGGGGAGTAGCTCTCTGGTCAGCCCTCCAGTTAGAAGGGACCAGGGACAGAAAGTACTGAAAATGCGTGTCCAGGTGATCTTGCAAGGTGATGAGGGCCCAGGGGTCATGGTGGAAAAATCCAAAAGAACGTAGCCAGACGGAAAATGAAGAGGATACCTTGAAATATTGAATCATTAAATGATCACTGCATTTAACAGTGCC